AAAAAAAAAAAAAAAACCATAGAATGTACAACACCAAGAATGAACCCTACTGTACTATAGACCTTAGTTAATTAAAGTGTGTCAGTACCAGTTCATAGATTGTAACAAATATACCGACTAAGGCAAGATGTTGGTAACGAGGGAAATGGGAGTATGAGAACTCTCTGTAACTTCCACTCATTTTTCTTCCACCTAACACTTTTCCAAAACAATCTATTGACGAAAAAAATGAAAAGGCAAGTAACACAATAAAATATTGTTCAACCATTTTTTAAAAGTGCAGGCCTTTCCCTCTCTCCACACAGCCGAGGGTGGCGCATCATGCTCCCTTCCACGGTGCCAGCACCCCCGTCTTGACTCTCATGCCCCCTGATTTCAGCCCCAGTGTTTCCACCTGCAAAATGCAGTCACAGTTGGATAAGCGCTCTCATAGGCACCCTAGGTTCTAAGTCCACAATGAATTTCCTCTGTTCTTTCCAGGGTGAGAGGGCTATTCATTATGTTTCATTTCTTATACGTGAGCCAGGTCCCACCTCACTGAAAAATAGAGACAGCAGGACAGAGCCTAAGAATGCTGAGGTTTGAGCCTCTCCCTCCTCCACACATGCACCTGAACTGTCACCTGTCTCCTTAGTGCTTCTTAATTTAACTTTATGCTTGGAGGGACCAGCTGGCTATACTGTGATTCCATGTTACCTCCCAGGTATGAGAGATGAAGGAAGGAAAATGATGGCAAGAATCCTCGGGGAGAGTCCAAGAAGGAGGTAGAAGAGAAATGACCCAGAATAATGGCTGTGCCACGCATCTGTCATAACCCCCTGTGCTATGTTTCGAATGTGTCCCTCAAATGTTCATGTGTTAGAAACTTGGTCCCAGTCAGGTGTAGTGACTCATTCCTGTAATCCTAGCAGTCTGAGAGGCCGAGTGGGTAGAGTGCTGGCGCTTAGGAGTTTGAGACCAGCCTGAGCAAAAATGAGACCAACCCTCCCCCATGTCTACTAAAAATAGAAATGCTAGCCAAGCATTGTAGCAGGCACCTGTTGTCCCAGCTACTGAGGAGGCTGGGGCAAGAGGATTACTCAAACCCATGAGTTTGAGGTTCCTGTGAGCTATGACACCGTAGCACTCTATTTGGGGGCATAGAATGAGACTCTGGAAAGAAAGAAAAGGCCCACGGTGACTGATGCCTGTAATCCTAGCACTCTGGGAGGCCAAAGCATGTAGATTGGCTGAGCAAGAGCCCCATCTCTGAAAATAGCCGGGCATTGTGTGGGCACCTAGGCCTAGCAGATCAGGAGGCTAAGACAAGAAAATCGCTTGAGCCCAAGAGTTGGAGGTTGCTGTGAGCTGTGATCCCACAGCACTCTACCAAGGGCCACATAGTGAGACTCTATCTCAAAAAAAAAAAAAGATGATGGTTCACATGGTGACAAAGTATAACTAGGTGTTACAGTCCTAGGAATGAGGACTTTGACCCTGCCAGCACTCCTTTCCAAGTAGTCCTCTCGACATCACCAGGTACATAGCTGCCACTTCTGCCTCAGTAGTCACCACAAAGACTAATAGACTAGGCGGCTATGCCACTCTTGACCAATAGGAGCTGCTGTCCAATATATGCCATCTGCACTCTTTTTTTTTTTTTTGAGACAGAGTCTCACTATGTCACCCTCAGTAAAGTTCACAGCAACCTCAAACTGTTGAGCTTAAGCGATTCTCTTGCCTCAGCCTCCCAAGTAGCTATTGTCATTGTTTATCAGGCCTGGGCTGGGCTTGAACCCACCAGCCTTGGTGTATGTGGCTGGTACCCTATTCCCTGAGCTAGAGGCACTGAGCCAGCCAGTCTGCACTCTTGCCAAAG